CTAATGATATAAAAGTCTTTAAGTTTAACACAATTGTTCGATTTTACCATTTTGCGTATTTAAAGAAGTAAAACCGTACATTTATGTCAAATTAAAGAGTTTTAATGAAAAAAAAAATGTAAAATCGAAAAATTCTGTCAAACTTAATGATTTTAATAAACTAAAAATACGAAAAAAGGTTAGGTTGAAAAAAATGTTGCAAAGTTTTGGTTTTAATGAACTAGAAATACACAAATTAAATAATAAAAACAAATATTTCTATCAAACTTAAGGGCTTTTATGAAAACCATATCATAAGCTTTTATAAAACTTTAATTAGATAACAATGTTTTGTTTGATATAATTTATGTTTTGTTTACTTTTAAGTTACAAACATGATAAATTGTAACATCTTGCATTTTTACAAGTTAAATGTTTGCTTTGCAACGAAACATGAAATGCAATGGTTACATGTAAATAACTATTGTAAAGAGTGTTCACTAGGATGAAAATCAAACGAACTAAAGCATGATCGAAACGAAAACCATAATATTAATATAACCTAATTACGAATCAAACTAATTTAAGCCAATATTATAAAGCATGATCGAATTGATTTGATTTGCAACGTGTCTATAGACCATAATTTTGTAGCTTAAAACTTAATGTTTGAAAGTATGATATAGTGATATATAAGATATCCATAAGAAAAACCTGTTTTAGATTTTTACACATAACAACTAGCATTTAACTTTTTTTTTTTTTTCACAAAACTTTAAATATTTCTTAGCAGTACAATACATTTTTGTAAAATTTACCGGAAATAAATAATTATGATATGTAGAATGTAAAGAGTTAAAATTTGATAAAAAACATATTTTACATTGCATTTCCATTTTTTTTGAAAATAAATAAATAGAAAAAAATGAAATTATTTTTATTCGTGATTATATGTAACTTAAAATTTAGAAAAAATCGACATATTTCTCATATATTCTGATATTCTTAAAGTGATAAAAACAATGTTCTAAATAACGTAAGACGTGACTTGACGGTAATGCCAAACCTCAAGCTTTTCCGAGTTTTGGTGAGTTATGACGTTTGTAAGCCGTGAGTTAATATGATAATTTTCTATATAATTAATATTTTTATATGTATTTTCAACTATTATTCATTTTTATACACATATATGAGTTAAGGCAGCATTTTGGTAAAGCTTGGCGGCAGGTGCAAGCCTTGGAATCATGAGACGTCATGACGGAACCATAACGAGCTTTTTAGAACCTTGGATAAAAGTGAATACAAAGAGGACAATAGTACAAATATTATTGTAATTACAAAATTATTTTTTAGAAAACATTTATAATGTAAAGTTGTAAAGTTTATTACTATTTAAATAACTAATCCCCAACTGCAAACATACATAAAGCTTTGTCTCATGCCCTGGAGTTACTTCAGGCGAATCTTAATGGCCACAAGAGCTGAGTGGAACTAAAGTTTGAACGTGTGTCAATAGGTTATCCACTATATTTTCCACATGCCTTACCAAGTCACCACAACACAAGTGGTTAACAATGTATTTTATTATATTTGATTATGTAAATAATAATGTCGGTAATATTTTCTTTTGAAATGTCTTGGATTGAAATAGGATACGTGATTAAAATATACAAGTCAAATAAAAGGACTTGATAAGTAATTACTAAGACAAATAATAAGCTAATTTGAAAAATAATACTTTCAAAAAGGTTAAATTTTGGATAATAAGTAATTCGTAGGGGTGCCACACAGAGCACAACGACAAACTATAAGGACTACACTTAAAAATAAATGCCAATTCAAAACTTTCACGGGTCTTAAACGTCCGTTTTCCTCCGATCTGAAGCCCTTAAATACTACGCTCCCCTCTGCATCTCCTTCGTATATCTCACGGATTTCGTCGGTGATCGACGGTCTCCATTTTCAAACGATCTCCGTCACTACTGCAATCTCCGGTAGAAATCGTTAGTCTTCCTTCTCTCTGCCTATCTTTTGCATATATCTACGTCTATGCGTTGTTGAATCATGAATACCTACTTGCAATCATCTTTATATATGAGATCGGATCTATTAATGCTCAAAATTGTTTAGTTTTTCGTTATTTATTTCGTCATTGTTCGTAAGATCGGTTTATATACTGTTTGGATCATTACGATCCACTTTGTGTTGGTAATTGAGATTCATTCGTATTTGATTCAAAATGGGCTACTAGCGTTGTATCATTTTCTCATAGGAATTATCTGTTGAATCGATTTGTTTCTGAGATCGATGTTTCGTTATTGTTTGGGGCATTGTATGACTGATTTTTTTTTTTTTTTTGAATTTTGTGGTTAACACTCCAGCATTACTTTTAAGATTTACTAATTATTGCGCAAAACTTTTTTTGATGCCTGAAATAAGGTCGATGTGTTGACTCGTAAGTGAAGTTAGAGGCCTTTGTTTTATGTGTGTTCCTTAAGTGTTAGTTAAGTTATTTTAACATTGTTTAAAAGCATAACACTCCCTCTGTCCCAAAACATACGAGTTTTCAGTTTTCACCTCATATGTTTTTCATTGAATTTCAGATATACTCATATTAATATCATTCTCCTATCATCACATTTCTTTCTCCAAATCCGTACATATTATCATCTACTGAAATTTCATTTCATCATGTAATCAAACATCAGATTTCACAATCTTCATTTGATCACTTGTGGTATTTCCAGTTTTTCCCATTTCATATAAAGTTATTTAACATGTTCTACATTTATGTTTGTCTCTCTGTTTATCAGATTAATCAAGATGGGGTTGTCATTTACCAAGCTTTTTAGTCGCTTGTTTGCTAAGAAAGAGATGCGTATTTTGATGGTTGGTCTCGATGCAGCTGGTAAAACCACAATCTTGTACAAGCTCAAGTTGGGAGAGATTGTCACCACAATTCCCACTATTGGTATGCAATGTTAATATATATATATATATATATATATATATATATATATATATTCATTTTCACTTTCTTATATCTGTCATGAAGAAAAAGATAAAAATCTCATCTTAAATGCCCACAAAGAATACTTTGTAATAAAATTAATGTTTATAGTTTATACTATAATGAACTGGAATCTTTGCAGGATTTAATGTGGAGACTGTTGAGTACAAGAACATCAGCTTCACTGTTTGGGATGTTGGTGGTCAGGACAAGGTAAGAAGATTCTAATCACAATTTGTATACTGACACTCGATAAAAAAAAATAAAATAAAAAATCTTTTTGTAACTTAATTAAATTGGATAAATATGTAATTTATTTGGCTTTTCAGATCCGACCTTTGTGGAGGCACTACTTCCAGAACACACAAGGGCTTATCTTTGTGGTTGATAGCAACGATCGTGACCGTGTTGGGGAGGCTAAAGATGAGCTCCACAGGATGCTGAATGAGGTACTGTAGAGATGATGAGGGCATTCTCGTCTTTTCACATACAAGAGATCGAGACCAAGTCTCTGTCTCACCTTTTTCGGGTTGACAAATGAAAAATCTTTGTTTTTTGTCCCAAATGACACTCTGTTCCATTGACATGAGTCTCGGATCTGTAATGCATGTCAAACACAGTATAACATGTTCTGCCAAACACAGTACAACATATTCAGTACTGGCAAGTCTTGTTCCGCTTTTTGGGTAGAGGACAAACAATGCACTTTTTTTGGTACTGTCATTGACATCAGTCCCAGTCTAATGTAGGCCAAGCCCAGTGTTTTGTTCCACTTTTTGGGTAGAGGACAAAAAATGCACTTTTTTTGGTACAGTCATTGACATCAGTCCCAGTCTAATCAGGCCAAACACAGTGTCTTGCAACTTTCATTTGGAGTTTGTTTGTTTTTATTTTAAAAAATAAAGTAAAATAAAAATGTGGGTGTTATAGGATGAACTAAGGGACGCGGTGTTGCTTGTGTTTGCCAACAAACAAGATCTTCCAAATGCCATGAATGCTGCTGAGATTACTGATAAGCTTGGCCTCCATTCTCTCCGACAACGACATTGGTAAACCATGAATTTAATAACAGAAATAGCAACCTACTTAATTAAAAATGTAAAGTTATTGATTTTTTTTTTTATTTTTTATTTTTATGTGACAGGTACATTCAGAGCACATGTGCTACCTCTGGAGAAGGTCTATATGAGGGTTTGGATTGGCTTTCCAATAATATTGCTAACAAGGTAAAGCCTTTACATGTTTAAATCATTATCATTTTTTTAATGCAAGAAATAGTAATTAGCTTTCATTCTTTTATTTATTATGTCACTCAACTTTAACTTTTTTTTATTACAAAACAATCATAGCAATGTCATCTGAATACAAAACAATTTTCACTACTATAATTGGTAGATTTTCAAATTATAGTATAATGCTACAATACAATCTTGTTATGTTGTGATTGTTAATTGATGTAATTTGTTTTTTGTTTTTTTAAATATATCAGGCATAAACAGGAGTTGGATTGTCTTGGGTTATAGATGTTTCTGGAGCTCCGTGTTAGTTTGTTTTGAGTTTTAAGATTTTTTTTCTTCATTTTGTTAATGTTGGGAATGAAAAGTTGTTGACTGGTGTTTAAATTTTAAATATACAATGAATTGAGATGGTTGGAATTGTGTAAATCTGCATTGCCTACTTTTGGTCCTAAGGCTATTTCCAGTTATAAAAAGGTCATTTATGTCTTTTTGCAGTCTTGAGAGATTGAGCATGAATATCACTAAGGGGCTTTTTGATAGTTACTCATCCGGGACTTTGGGTATGAAGTCTGATTGTCCTGATTGGTTATGAAGTCTGATTGAATCTATGTCTGACTGAAATCATGTTGTTTGATTATAGTCTTACTAGCTATGTTGAATGATAAATATTTGATTGATTACTAGTTTTTTACAATATTTTCACATGTTAAAACAATTAACATATGTACAGAAAATAATCGATGATCGATCCATGATTCTCTTCTATCTTATCTGCAAAACAAAACAAAAAATACATCTACATTTTTTTCATCAAATCCGTTTTGTGGTGTAAAATTAAATAATTAATCATAGAAGATTACGTATTAATTCTGAAAAAATAATCACAAAAGATCACCGATCAATGATCAATTATGCGATGAGATTAATAACAACTTAAAAGTCGTACATCTTTTTCATCAAATCCAATTAACCACACAATTATAAAAAATTAACTGATATATACACTAAAGCCTCAATAATTTCAACGATTTGACAAGAAAATCCTAATTTTTTTTTTTTGACGGTAATGTCCTAATTACCGACAGTTTTTGACACTTTTACCATTTTTCGCTAGTTAGCAGGTAATTAAGACTTTACTATCAAAAAAATAAAGTTTAAGACTTTCTTGTCAAATCGTAAATTAAGACTTTATTGTTAAAAAAATAAAGGTTACCACTTTGTTGTCAAATCAGTGAAAATATTGGGACTTTAATGTATAGTATTGGTTTTCTTAGAAACAAATAATTTTATCAACCTCGTGAGACCAAATTCGTAACCAAAGAACTTTCAATTGTGATTTTTGTCGCAGCACCATTATTTTTCTTACCATCATCATTTTACCCTGCTACAATCACGATTAGAGGAAACAGATGCAAGAGAGAGTGAGAAGGCTTGTAAAACTTTCTTCTCGATTCGCCGTCAAATCTTGAACTGAAAATAGGGGGCAGGTTGTACATACACAAATAACACACATCTAATCAAAAAGGATATGAATGTGGAGAAGGCGTAAGAAGGGCAATTTCATCTTTTCCGGTTTCTTAATTCTCTATTTTTAGGACTGCAAAAAATCAACACAACCCTGGTTCTTTCTTTCTTTCTTGATTATCTTCATTTTTTCAATATCGGTTTGTTGAGATTAAAATAACTATTTAAGAAACAAATGTTTAAGATTTCAATAGGATCTAGCTGACGATAGCAGGTTTCAATAACTTTTATGCTTAAAGACTATCATACCATTAAATTTGTAACCAAAAAATGTGTGTGTGTGTGTGTATATATATATATATATATATATATATATATATATATATATATATATATATATAGAGAGAGAGAGAGAGAGAGAGAGAGAGAGAGAGACACTAAAGTCCCAATAGTTTCAACGATTTGACAAAAAGTCCTAAAATTTATTTTTTGACAGTAAAGTCCTAATTCACGATATGACAAGAAAGTCCTAAACTTTATTTTTTTTATAGTAAAGTCCTAATTACCGGCTAACCGGCAAAAAAGGGTAAGAATGTAAAAAATTGCCGGTAGTTAAGATTTTGCTGTAAAATTTTTTTTAGCACTTTCTTGTCAAATTGTTGAAAATATTGAAACTTTAGTTTATATATCCCAAAAATTAATCACATTATAGTTTAGTACAATCACGGACACTTATAAGTGATCAAAAATTAACTTCCTTTTCATGAGGTTCAATACATAAACACAAAACGAAGATGGAGGACAAGGACGGATCAAAGAGATAGGGAATTGGAAAATTGATGTCTGACCTTACTGGCAATGGAAAAAGTCAATGTTGAATAGGGCAGAGGACAAAGACGGCGATGGAAGATGTTTGCGATGGAGTTTTTTGCGTCGTTCAGGGGTGGAGACGTCCAAAGATTGACTTTTTTTAATCAGTCAGCTATTATTTTTGGTGGACCGAATCAATAATTATTTGGGACGGAGTTAGATATATGGTATGGGTCAGAAGAAAAATCTTCTTAAATCAAACACTCTGACCAGACCGAATCAGATGAAAACATCTGACCGGACCGGGTCAGCACAAAATCAAACAGCCACTACAGCTGAGAAAGTATAACGGAATTAATCAACTTTTCAAATATGAAAACAAAAATAGGAATTTTATTAATGGAAATCTTCAGAAAATTCCCAAACTTTTGGGAAAAGTTTCACTTTTGTCCCAACATTTTTTTGAACAAAAAACCAAGAAAACCGGATAAATAGAACAATTCGACCCTCTTTTGCTGGCGATCCTCATTTAGTCGGTTAAAATATAATTGCTTTCCTGGCAAGGAATTGTTGAGGTGGTTGGTGAGTCATTTAATCTCCTTGTATTAAATGTAAATATTGTGGAAAACTTCATTCGTGCCCTAGAAAGGGTAATTAAAGCAGGACCAATGGAAGACCAAGCAAAATGTCTTCTTCGTCTTCTTCATCTTCAATGAATCGTCGTCGAAACTGTTCAGGTGCTACTGTGGTGATCCCATAGGAAGATGGAATTCATGGACTCCATTAAACCCAAGAAGATGGTTTGTAGGATGCCTAAATTACTAGAATGAACTCAAAGATTGCAAGTACTTTCGTTGGGTGGATCCTCCTTTACCAAACTAGTGGTACACAAATCTCTTATTAGCATTTCACAACATTATCAATTTGCAGAACAATAGAATATTTGGGGAGTTTGGGCAAGAAAAACCAGCGGGGAACTTTTTTTTGGAGATGTTGTGGAACAACCAATGGCACAACAACTAGTTGCACAATAAGCAGTGGAAGGAGGAAGATGGAAATCACTGCTTTTGTGTTTTTATTGGTTATGTTGAAGGATTGGTAGGATAGAAGGTTGTTTTAATGTATTTTGGTTGTGTTTGTCTTGCTTATGACTGGTTGTTAGATTACTATGAATGCATTATTTTGTGTCTCATCTGATTATCAATGAAGTAACTACTCTATGTATGAACTATAAATTTGTTGATTGTAATCAATGAATGGAATCAATGGTTGTTTGTAATCACTTAATAATGGACTTAATACACAAAGGACCCAATACATAATGAATCATTAAAGAAAAGGAATCAATACATAATGGAGTCCTACAATGTATGCAAGACTGGAATCCATACAAATAAGGAATCAATATAACCAAACATAAACAGTGTAAACTATAGAACATGTTGTAACGCCCCATTCCTGGTACGTAATTATTTAATAATTCAAGTATTTATTTTGAGCTACTCAACGAGTTGGTAGCCCTAACTTGTCGAGTAGATGCTTGCAAGGAAGCGAGATATAAAGAGTCTACTCAACGAGTCCAAGCATGGACTCGACAAGTAGGTCTGCTAGGAGGAAGCCCTATTTTTGGGGTTGTGCACCCTATTTAAACCACTTAAACCCCCTTTGGGTGTCCTTTACCAGCCCCAATGTCCTCCAGAAACCCTAATCTGATTGAGAGACTCACCCTTGAGATTTTGAGTGTGTTTTTGTGTTTTGGAGATAGTTGGAAGAGCTTGGTGCTAGCAAGCTTGTGGAAGAAGATCAAGATTCAGGAGTGCATTCATCTTTGGCAGCTTTCTGAGGAAAAAATCTCTTAGCTTGGTAGCCCATAGCTTAGATCTCCTCTAATGATGTTTTATGGGTCTTTTTGACCCTTTTGAGTAGGATAAGTTGCTTCTCTTGGGTTGTATGCAAAGCAATCCCCTTTTCTTGTGATGTTTAGCCTCTAGAGTCATAAAAGGAGTCTTGAACCCGTTTTCATCCTAGCCATGGTCATGTTCATGGAAGTAGGTTGCTTTAACTTGAGTTTGGGTCCATTTGAGGTGTGCAAAGCCATCAAGTCTCTAACTTTATATAAATGGACCATGGAAACAAACTAGATCTGCATTTTGGAGCTGTAGAAGTGTGAAACCAGTTATCTAGGTTAGATCTGCAAGGGACTCGACGAGTTCATAAGGGGACTCGGCAAGTCCGATGAAGAAACCTCGATGATGTTCATAAGTCTCGTCGAGTTCATTAAGGAACTCTGCGAGTAGGAGCATCTTGTGCCTTATTGATTATGCCAGGACTCGGCGAGTCTGAGTTGAGTCAGTTCGACAAATCGCGATGACAAGTAGTTTGGGAACTCGACGAGTCATGGGGTGACTCAGCGAGTCTAGTAGCAATTCCAGGGTTCTGAGTATTAGGACGCGGCGAGTTTGGTTAACCTGGAAGGTTGACTTTGACCAGGATGTTGAATTTGACAAGGGGTAAAATGGTTATTTTACCCTATGGATAGTTATCAGTTTTTGAATAAGTGTCCTTATGAAATTTATAGTCGGAGAGTTGCCGGAGCAGCAAACAGGGATTTATCACCCAAATTTTCAGCGGTCAGTCATACGAGGTGAGTTTTTCCTCCAGTAGGAACAAGTCTAAGGCACCAATGCCAGCCCGTTTATATAGTTGCAGTAGGTCGGGGTAACCTCGATGCAGTATATGTGATTATGTTATATGTTTATGTTTATGTTATGTTTAGTTTATACCGGACTTCGGTCCGATGTCGGGCAGGGCCCGATGCAGTGGGCTGGGCCCAAGTTATTCCGGACTTCAGTCCAATGCCGAGCGGGGCCCGATGTAGTGGGCGGGGCCCAATTTATGTCGGACTTCGGTCCGATGCCGGCCCGGCTCGATGTAGTGGGCAAGGTCTAGTATGACTTATATGTTATTGTATGGTATGTGGTAGTTTTGGGGGGGGGGGGGAGCTCACTAACCTTCGTGCTTACAATTCTTAGTTTTGTTTTCAGGTACTTCCGGTAGCAAGGGGAAGAGCTCAGGGTGATCGCATGGCACACACCACAGTATTTGGCCTGGGATTGTTTGAGACTCTGATATTTTATCATTTGTTTTTGATACAGTTTTTTATATGATATTTTGAGACACACGACACTTGGTTTCTTATTAATTATGGATTTATAGCTTTTACAATATCTTTCAAACGAAAATTTTGGGACGTTACAAGTTGGTATCAGAGCCTTGGTTTGAGGGATTCGAGTACATTTTGGGGTGCGTCTGAACTCAAACTACGGATGTGATATAAATTTTCAAAAGAGAGTCATTTTCACAAAAAATATTTGTAAAATAGAAAAAAAATTGAAAAGAGAAAAAGGGTGTGGTGCATGCAATCAGCCGAGCTCAAGTAAGTACTCCCAAATTACCCATACAAGTTATGCTATGTTATGTTTTTTAGCTTTATTAGAAC